TGTTTTGGACTTCACCTACTTCAATGATTAGCGTCATCTTCAGACACACGGTGATGCCGTGCTCGGTGTCCCTCTCCGCGTCTTGTGCGCGTTTGTGGGAGCTGTGCCTCGAGTGATGTGCGCACACGTGGGGTCTGGGGAGGATCCCAGCCCATGGATCTCTCCATTGCATCATAGGCACGTGAGTGTTGGACCCTGGGGGGAGTCTGTGCCCAACTGTGAGTGAACCTCAGCAGGGATATGCCTATGCACGTACCCCCGGGGGTCTGCACGGCTGTGGGAACACACATCGCACCGAGTCTGTACAGGGGATTATGTGCTTCTGGGGGTCTCAGCCCTCCTGTGTGCCACTGCAGGTGTACCAGTGGGGCCTGAAGGCGTGCAAGCGTGTTCGCTTGAGTCTCCACCAACACGTCTGTTTCTGCAGGTCAGTGTGCGGGTGGGTGCTTTTACAAAGGCGAGGGGCACCTTCGGTGCGCTGGACTTGGGGGAACATGCCCGCAATCACGAGGACTGGACGTTCCGTTCTGCTGTGCGTCCCCGCCACGCAGCCCCTGCCGCCGCGGAGCTAAGCGCATAGATGCAGAATGCGGACCTGCGCACACGTCCGTGCTCCCGTGGCCTGGGCCGACGCACACCTGTATCTTTTGGTCTAAGCCTGTGCGCTGGCTGGCCCGGGTGTGAACGTGTGTTTGTATGAGTGGCTGCGCCCTGAGGAGGTGGGTGCATCAGCCTGCGGGGGTGCCAGAGTACGTATGTGCATGTGTACTGCTACGGCTGATTGGTGTGTCCTCTTCCTCTGTGTCCCGGGACTGCAGACTCTTGCACTGTGCAGGCTGCGTTGCAGGCTGCGTGCGCCCGCCACCCACTGCACAGTGCACGGCCCCACTCACTCACTCACTCAGGAAAACGCAGCCAAGACTCTCCAGGAGGGGAGGGGCATGGGCGGGGCTTGGGAGGGGAGGGGCTGTGTAAGGGAGGGGGCGCATTTAGAGCATGGGAGAGGGCTGCAGGGTGGGGCTGTGGAGGGGAGGGGGGTAGGGATATGGCGTGAGAAGAGGGGTGGAGCTTTGGAGGGGAGGGGTGTAGGGCGGGGCTGTGGATGGGAGATGGTGCAAGGGGCAGTGGGATGGTACAGACCCCAGGGTCAGTCTGGAGCTAGGCTGGCCAACCTCATACCCTGACCTTGTCAGTCTGGAGCCAGGCTGGCCAACCTCATACCCTGACCTTGGCACTGAGACAGACCTACCACTCTGGGGAGGGGCTTGGGCGGGAAGCAGGGGGCGGTCTAATGGTCTAGACCAGCCTGGGGACCTACGGGTCACCTAGGTCCTTGGCTGACCTCCCATGAAGGTGCTGAGACTCCAGGTTGACGATGTCGGTGGCTATGGCCAGGTGTCCCAGGGCAGCTGTGTGATGTGGGCTGGGTGAGCCTGGGGTCACCGCGGGCTTCTTTGGGGCTTAAGTTGGGTGCTGGGTGGCCCAGCAGGCTCCCCCTTTACCCCACGCTTTTACTCTGGCCCCTTCCTCCATCCTGCCTCTGGGCTCAGGGAGCCCCTGAACCCTGCCTGGGCGGCAACTGCCCAACAAGCAGCTCCCACGACTCCTTTGTCCTGAGGAGCTCAGAAGGCCAAGCCCACACTCGGGTTGGGGCTCAGTGAGGATGTGGGGCCCAGGGGGAAGATACAGATGTTCCCCCCCCCTCAGCCTGGCATGCCCATCCAGCTTGGGCATAAGTGTACAGACAAGAGTTTGCAGACCCCTGGAGCAAAAGGACCATAGACCACACAGAGCCCTGTTCATGACCCACCCCGCCTTTGTCCCCAAGCTCTCAGGGCCCTTCCTCACACAGCCACTCTGGGTGGGACTGGACTATGAGCCACGTCCCCCTGCGGGAGCCCCAGAACAGAAACGCAGAGGAGTGGGGCTCTGCTCTGAGCCAGTGGTGGGGTTTGAGCTTCAGTCCCTTAACGAGAGCTGCCATCAGGTGAGGGAATACGTCCGCACTCCATAGCTCCCACCGTGGAGGGTGATTTATAGGGCACTGGCCCTGCTTGGGGGGTGCATTTGCAACCCTGGGGCTCCCCGTGTCCTGGCCTAATTTGGGGATGGACACGGTGGTAGGGTCTAGTCACCGGGTCTGGAGGGGACCTGCCCTTGCTCTCCAGAACCTGCACCTGCTACCCCAGGGGTCTACCCCCACATTGCTATGCCACGCCCCTCCTCTGGCAGCACTGCCCCCCACCACCACCAGGGTGGTCACTCTCTACAGCTGCCCCCTCGGCTCCAGCTGGAGGATCAGCCCTGGAGGCTGTACCAGGGTACCCCCAGGCCCCCCTCCCTGAAAAGCCTGTCTGCCAGAGCCTAACCTAGGAGACAATGCCTTCCCCAGCACCCTGCAGGTACCCAGGCTGGACCTGGCAGTCCTGGCAGAGGGTCTGGCCTGGGACCCTCCAGAGCAGTGCTCAGGGCAGGACAGTGAGGGCTCAGGCCCAGCAGGGGCCTCCTCCAGAGTGCCAGGCAGCTGGCCTGGCCTAGGGACTGATGGGAGTTGCAGTTCTGGACTCAGGAGCTGATGGGAGTTGTAGTTTCTGGGCCTGCATCCCCACCTGGCACCCTGCAAGGACTCCTGGAAGCTGTAGCT